TTATGAGTTAGTAGCGTTGTATCGCCTCAAGTAACTAAAAGCGCCAAATTTAAATGTAATCGCTACATATAATTATACAAATTTATAAAGTATGTGGTTTCTTGAAGATCTCGCACAAATAATTAAAGGTTAATGTTTTACGTGGTACACACCAAGTCCTTTACGTACGGAATATAGTTTGTTTATAATCTTAATAATATAGTGCTAATATATTCAATCTCATAATATCAATGTGAGTATATAGACACAATAAAGGGTCATATAATTAATTGTGGGTACTGTATATGATTATGAGAGCATATATTTTGAAAAAATTACATTTTACAAAAATATTTGTATACAGGGTGTCGTACAATTCACTGACCATATTACACATTTACAGATAAAAATAGTAATAACAACAAAAATTAATCAGAAACTTCTCAATGTATAGCTGCTATGTTATGAACTGATAAAGCCTGAAATTTTTACCTTGTTATATTGTTGCAAATAATTACTATTAGAAAGCACTAAACAATCATTATTAGAAATTACTACAAATTGTATACTTTTTAATAATACGCTATATGCAGGTAGATTGGGTCAGAGTAAATAAAAAAGTGAAGTACCGCAAAGTAAAAACTTCAATAATTATTAAATAATAAATTAAAACGTCTCAACGAGCGTGCAGAAAGCAATAGGTCGGACTCGAGAGACATGTAAAATGACTTTTGTTGGAGAGGTGGAGTATAGGTCATTTTTACTTTTATTTTACGAGTGATGCTCATTTTTACTTTTGTCCTCTCGCCGCTAGTCCCTCGTCCATTGATTTCCACCGATCAGTCAACCGTTATCCACTCGCTCCCTGCATCCACCCTCTCTATTTTTAATTAACAACATGCTATATTCTTTGCACGTGAATGTTGTCATTTATAACCAATCTTGATAATAAAATAGGTGATGTATATATTTATTATAAACGTGGATGCTATTGACTTTCCAAAACTGATAATTATCTTCTGCATATTTTCTCAGTTAAGCTGTCATTCATCTTGATTGTGGCTAGACGACAAATATTCAGACAGACATCGCAGTGGAAATAAGACAGATACCTGGTGGACAAAAGGAAATAAGAGGTCCATAAATAGAAGAATCTTTTATGACAAAGAAAAATAAAAGAGAAGTACATATAATCATGAAATCATTTATTTCAAAACTTTCTATTTCGCAAAGTTTGCATACACTGAGCAAAAAGAAATGGAGAAAAATTATATACAAAATTAGAAATAATTTATAATGTAAAGATTTTTTACACAATTTTACGAAACAACCACTTACAAATGTACAACCAATGTCTCTAATATCCATAACATAACAATTGTTTCTAATCTTATTAATGATAATGTTAATGATAATGTTCCTAATCTTGTATTAATGGTAATGTTAATAATATTCAATATAATCCGTTTACATGTAGAAAGTAGATCGTTCACATTCAATTTTGATAATAATATTAAAAATGTACTTCCTATAAATGTTGAAGATAAAAAATTTCTTCTAACAATGATTGTACGTGTACTTCTGATGGTGATTTGTCTTATGGAATCACACATTTACAGATAAAAATAGTAATAACAACAAAAATTAATCAGAAACTTCTCAATGTATAGCTGCTATGTTACAAACTGATGAAGTCTGAAATTTTTACCTTGTTATATTGTTGCAAACAATTACTATTAGAAAGCACTAAACAATCATTATTAGAAATTATTAAAAATTGTATAATTTTTAATAATTGCTATAGAGAATACTTTTTTATAATTATTGTAGAAATATGTCTACATCACACAATGACAATCGTCCAAAAAGACCTATTACAAAACCGTCAAGATACCAGACTACCTCTTCAGATGAAGATATTCCCAGGAAAGTAGGAAAACAAGATAAGAGTGTTACCAAGACACTGGAATCGGACATGAGAGATTTAAGAGTCATTTTACAGGAAAATTTCTCACATGATTACAATAAAAACTCACAAACGCCTTTGTTACATACATTAGATAAAGTACAGCCATATACACAAACTCAGGCACAATATCAACCACATACACCTACTCAAGTACCATGTCCGACAATATCCACTCACAATCAGATACAATATCCACTACAAACATCTACTCAGACACCATATCAACCAGGACAAATGTCTCATCAATTTCCATCTTCACAAACATCTATTAATTCTCAATCATACTCTACATTACCTCAGTCAATCATACCAGTGTCACAAATTATACCTGTCACAATATGTAACTCACCTATTATGTATGTCGACTCAGAATCAAAATGTTACAGACAATATTATTAATACATGCAATAAGTTTCAGGCTAATTTTTCTAACATAGGCAGAGCGATACAGACGACAACGAATTATAGTGCACAACGAACAGAAAGCGAAGAGGAGAATCGGTGAGTATATAAAATTATAAAAATAATAACAATAGACATAAATAACAAGAAATAACAAATAATAACAATGATTAAAACTATTAACAATAAATAAAACTTTTATCAAAATAATGTTATTAATTTAGTGTTAACTGTATGTTTAAAAATATATTCATTTGTTATTTATACCAGTACAATTTTTATAGCAAAATCCAGGAACGATTGAGCTATATAGAAACAGAGTTAAGGTAAGTAATGTATATATGAGATGACCAAAATAGTTTCAACATCTTGTTTTATCATAATGGAATACACTTATTTTATTTATAAGACGTGATCAGGCGATCATTTGCCTTTAACACAGATTCTATTCTTTTTTAAATGGAAACATACGAGTACAATACTGAAGTAATCACTTATGCAATGTTGTACTATTCTTTTTGCAGAACATCTTTCAATTGCTTAAGTATGTATATACATACCGTAGAGTGGGGTAACATGGAACAAGGGAGCAAGTTGGAACAAAACTTCCAAAAAGCACAGAACTTATAATGATGTAATGTTTATCATTTATTGAGCGTACATATGGGCTAAACCAAACTAGCGTTGAACTCGAATGCTTTCTTGCAGACGTTGCCGGTTTTAATGCATAAATATGAAATTGGAAGTTTTGTTCCAACTTGCCCCCTTGTTCCATGTTATCCCACTCTACGGTATATAAAAGTGATGTTGGATAAAAAAAAGTTGCTTCTCACTGTATTTTTCAAAATTGCGCTTTGTCCTTCAAAACTTCAATATCTTTCCCGGCCAGTGTCATTACTGCATTCGTAATGTTAGTGAATATTTTTTAGCAGTTTTAAAGTGCAAAGTGGAAAACAGATTTCTACCTCCTCTATCTATCTCTTACACAATTACCATATAAAAGATATTGTTTTAGAAGAAAGTTGTAACATTACACTCTAATGACAATTCAAATATTGTATGATTCCAAAAAGTTTCATAAAATCTGAATTAAAATCTATGAAAAAGCAAATAGTAATCTGTTATTGATAAAACAAGTGCATTTTCCAAGTGTTAACATAAAATAATGTTGCCTATCCCCTGTATACATGTTTTTAATAATACTTTGTTTCAACATTATTAATGTTAATGTTCTCAAAGTTTATATTGTAATGTAAAATTTATACAGATATATAAGATTAAAAACTTATATTTTATTGACAGAAAACTGAACAACACTGTGGAACGAATTTTACAGTGTGTACAGACAAAACAAGATCGACGACGAGCTTTACAAAAGCCAAAATGTTTACCGATTTCAACAGAATTAGAGATGCAAACTTTTGAAATGACTGATGAAGAGATATACGAGGAAGTTGTAAGTCTATAAAAAAAGTGCAACTAAAAATATAATAACAAAGACAAAATAACTAAACATACACTAACAAATAACTAAAAAAAACAATGAAATATAAAACTACATAAAAATATTCATAAAGAAACGCAATAACAATTTTCGATTAACAATAATAATAACGGTTATGTTTCGTATTGTACAGAAGAGTAGAGAATAGTATTTAAAAAAATTAACTGAACGATAAATTGACAAGTATCAGCATTTTCTGTTTTTAGACATTATTTTAAAAATTAAGTAAAACATAATAATTATAACATCTATTAAACAAATTTACCAAAAATTTATACGCGTCTTTACAAAGTAATCCTTTTGCTTTCAAGAAATAATTACACAAATTTATTTTTGCTCTCAGAGAAAGAGTCCTTACTTGACGTTCTTTTACTTAGGAAAATGACACGCATGTAAATTTTCTAATATTCTTACAATAATTTTTAGAATAAAATGCGGATCATTATCAACTTGATCTTCATACAAATTTTTGTAATGACATTTTTATGTAGGTGGATCATCTTCAATATGTTGGAGGATTTACCAAGGAGGCAATCAATCTATCCTTCAAGGAAGTGTTAAAAGATAGCTTGACGATGGCATATACCTGGTTTGGTCGTGAACAAGAATCACAACCCTTGTATAACAAACGCATAATAATGGCAATTTACGGTATGATTTTCAATACTATACTCTTTCTCTAAATATGTATTCCTAAACGTAGTGATATATAACGTGTGCGCGCGCATGTGTGTGTATCTATACGTATATATACATTTTTCTTGATTTGTATTTACAGATGCCGTTTGTAATAATCGACATTTTAATAAACCGACGAGGACAGAATTCCAAGTACGTGAGAGAGGCGTTGCGAACAGCGAAGCAGAGGCACAGGATTAGTACCCGCGTGCAGCTTAATAAACAGCAACATGCTAAAACAGCGCGAGATTATTGGAAGGATGGCAACGAGGAAGGAGCTAATCAATTACAGTCCAATATAGACTCACACGATGAAGACGACTAAATTATGTAAGTGAAACGTTATTTGGCCTTTCATAGTCATATGCTTCAAGTTTACAGATTTTAACAATCTATGAACTTGAAAGCTATATATGAAAAACATGAATACACCTTACGTGACATCACTATGTTTAAAGCCAGCTACACACGATGTCTTTCTGCCTATTGGTTTGCTTTCGTGTGTCTCTGCTAGCTGGTGAGAGTCAATCAGGATGCAGTATGATAGGTCGGTAACTTAAAACTAAATCCTGATGGGTTCTCACTAGCCAGCAGAGGCTCACGCAAGCAATCAAGTGGGCAAAGAAACGTTGTGTGCTGTTCGCTTTAAAGTATAAGAAAAAATATAAGTGAATCATAACAGCAAGCCATTAAATACCTTGCTTCTCCTCAGTTACAGATGCTGCTCTCGGAAACTGCGTAGTCCTGAACCCCTAATCTCGCAAGGGGATGTATGGAAATGCTAAGCGAAGATGCTACAAGTTCGTGGGTTCCACTAGTGGGTATAGCTTGCTATCCCCTACGTCCCACAAAAAAAAACAATTTTGACAAATGAAGGTACGATTACATAATAAAAAGAAAGCATATTTTTGGAAACAAGACGTAGGATAATAAACAAGTTATGTATGAAAGTTATCATTTTTTCTTGCAAGTTAACGCACATAATGAACATATTTCTTACCTTGATTTTTTCCAGTTACAGATGCACTACAATACTCTTTGGAGTTCGAGATGTGGAAAAGATGAGGAGACGACTGTGCAACATAGCTTCATTAGCTGAAATATAGAGAAGAATAGTGGTGAGTTATGTATAAAAAGAATTTCTTTTAGATATTATATACAGGTATATATATGTATAATTTTATTACTTACCCGAGTATTTGGTATTTTTCCTCTTTGCTCACAGATATTTCGAAATGTGGATTTGTCCCTAATATAACGTGGTGGCACAATATCCATGCAAGGATTATCCAGATTATCTGTTATCTTCGGAATCAAACCACACATAGGACAGTGCACGTTACTACTTCTTCTTCTTTATCTTGTTCTGGCTCCCGGCTCCGATTCTGAGCCGACACGACCACGACGAGCACGTTACTGCTGTATGATATAGATACATAGATGTATCAACGCCGTCTACATCTACATCAATATAGTGATAAGGGTGCATTTCCATTGAGCGCGCCATGTGTCGCGTCACGCGCGATAATACAATGAGTGTACAGCGTAAAACCGAAAATCGCTTATTTTCCTATAAGGCTGGGTCTACATAGGATGTAGTAAGTCGTGTCGGAAGAAATTGACCAATCACAGTTCATTATTCTCCTTACGGTCGAAGAATAATGAACTGTGATTGGTCAATTTCTTCCGACACGACTTACTACATCCTATGTAGAACCAGCCTAAAAGCTGTTTGCTCTTTAGATTATGGCTGCGTTAGGTTTGGGCGCTCACGCGCTGTAAGCATCGCTCTATCTTCGTTTGATATTCGATGTGCAACGAAGATAGAATGATGCTTACAGCGTGTGAGCGCCCAAACCGAACGCAGCCTATCACTCGTGACATATTACATTAGCGGCTCACGGCCGCGACTGCAACTGTATTAACAATTGCGATTGTCTACACTGTAATCGGAGCGTGGCCAATCGTAATCACAGATGTGCAATTGCAGTCGCGGCCGCGAGTAGCTAGTTTTGGCTCTTGCAGACCAGTGCGACAACCATAGACATAGTATATATACTATGTCTATGGCGACAACGCGACGCGTGATTGTCCAATGAGCGTACAGAATGCATACAGTTTTCCCATAAAGACTGTACGCCCATTGGATTATCGCGCGTCGCGCATCGCGTTGTCACAGTGGTCTGCAAGAGCCATTTGATATGGACATTAAGTAATTAGTCGTAAAGTCGATTGCAAGTAGACGCTTGTCGCGATTCATCATTTTACATTAAATGTAAAAATTAAATATGTATTACAATTTGAAAATATACATTTACATGTATAATACGTACATTGAATTTATATTTATTTGGCATTTATTATATTGGTCACAACGACGTTTCGATCGCGAATTGCGATCCTCTTCAGGTTATACAATGCGTGGTTGACTGATGTGGAAGCATTCAGTCATATCTACAACTAACAGTTAATATATCGTAAATTTATGGATTCCGGATTATAACATATTATATACAAAACGTCGAATCTTACAAGTCAATAGATTACAATTTATAACAGATTATACATAAATAGTGTAAAACTTACAAGTCAGTTTGTTAAAACTTAATAGAATAGTGGGTAATTGTTCAGAATAGCTACATCACCTCCAAAATCAATCATTTTCGTCTCATTCGACGCGTTTTTTAACGAGAAACAACTTTTTCCTTAGACAAAATCGTCGCTCTGCCCTGCGAAGCGAGATATTAATTGTTAAAGTGGTAAATATGCAAGTCTAAATCTTGTATCTTTTTAACGAATCAGTTGCAAGTGTCTTTAGCACGGCGCGCTGCGCGCGCCGTGCCAAAAACACTTGCGACTTACGTGTTTAATCAACTTTACCGCGGGAAGGAATTTTCGTCCTCGAATCTGCTTGTATTATAGTATTTATTGGTTAGGTTACTAACTTATCATTCATCACATAGCCACCGCACAGACATCGAATGTCGCGCATTTTTACGT